TATGATTTCCCAGTATTTAGAACCTAGAGCATTCCGCGTTAATTTCCTTGGCAATGTGTCTACCCACAGATTTATAATAACTTACTTCATAAGATATGTATTTTGTAGTATTATAAGACATATTATTTTTATGGCCTACTTAAATAAAGCAGTGACAGAGGCTTTCGAAAGACTTATGTTGGGCCATGAAAAGGGGGAACTTAACTTTTGTAATGCGCTGAGAATAACGATCATTTTTCAATGTCAAACATAAAAAGTGTTTTATTATAGAGTTTAAGAAGAGTTCTGCCAATGTTATAAATATAATGCAATGCAAATAGAAGGTTTAAAACGCAAAATATATTATTAAACTATTTTAAAACGAGTCATAGACCTATAGAGGAAGGTTTCGAGCTATAAAACATCAGGCAACGCCTAATAAGAGGGAATAAATTGTGGAGAACTTGGAAAAAACGGGAAAATATATATTTCGTTGCGTGCACTGCGACAGTATGTTTCTTGAGATTGACTTGCAAGAACGGAACGCAGACAACGCCGTGGGGTGGACGACGTGACGTAACAGCTATTCATAATAAAGATGACGAGGTTTCCAAAAAGAAATAATGACGCCCAAAATTACTATTTTTAGCGGACAAAGTCGCGGCCGCAGCTAGTACTTCAAATACCAAAGAACGTTGGTCTGGTCAGCCAGTTAATTATATAAAAGCCGCGAAATTTAATCGCGTTTCGGTCTGTATATTTCCGAATATCCAAAGCTAAAATAGGCCGACATCGCATCTTGCCTATTTGTTATATGGCTGGGATATTTCAGCGCCCCTTAAGTGAACCTCGTGCTTATCTGTCCTTCATTATATAAAATAAAAATTACCTAAAAATGTTGAATTGTTTTGTGGCCCCACAATTCCTCGTGGTTTCAATCCTGGCCAATTGACTTATATTTACTCTGCTGGCTCTTGTTAGGCTAATGCTGTTACCGGGTTTTGTAGGACATGGCTTTGTTAATAAAGTAATTCAAAGTGGAGTGTGATCTAGAATTGTCTGTAGTTTACGCGAGTAGTAGACATTTGAATAAGACACTTTTAACGGTTTAAAACGCGATATATTAGCTAAACTTATTTAAAAATGATTTTTAACTTCGGCCCGACGTTTCGGAGTTTGAGCAGCCGTGGTCACGGGGAGACAAAAATCATTTATCAGTACAAAAATGTATACTAAAAAAACGGCGAACTTATCGTTAAAAAGCGATTTCTTCCAAACGAAGATGGTTTATCATCTCCTATCGCCATTACAATTCTCATCGAGTCATTCATAAGTAAATATTTTTAACTATTGCCCAACATTTCGGATGCTTCGCAGCAGAGTTGGTCACGGGGTGGCTAAAGATGGAGGATGTCTCAGACGTCAAAGTAAAAATTGCCAGCTAGCGATCTGTGCCGTCGAAGTTGGTATTTGGCGAAACTGGCCAGGTCCTTGCAGAATTGACTAACGGTGTCTTCGCGTTTGCCGGTATGCTGTTTATTGGGATCCAGAGTTTTTGTTGGGGGATCCCAGGCGTTTGATAATTTGAGGCCGTCCTCCCTATTCAAACGGTGTTTTTTGATTTCAATTGCTTCGCGTAACAATCTTGAAAAAAATTAACTCTCCTTTGCGAGGATTTTTGGTTGAAGTGTTTTATTTAAACACTTTTAATGGTTTAAACACGAATCAGCAAAACTTACGTTGCTTTGCAGCAGCCGTAGTCATGGGGGGAATAAAGATGGATTGTAAGACTACGAAAGATTATTTTCCTTCAGCACATACAATGAAAAAATCATGTATGAGTGAGAACTCCCATATATGTATTCTTATCACGAGGCTCTTAATTTAACGGTTTATTACGCGAAATGTATTCGTTAAACCTCTCCCCGTGACCACGGCTGCTGCAAAGCATCCGACATGTCGGGCCGTAGTTAAAAAAATTGTTAATAAGTTTAACTAATAGACTTCGCGTTTCAAAACGTCAAAAATGTTTTATTAAAATGTGTAGGTACTATTCGCGTAAAGTCAGTACGAAATTATTTGTACATTTTATATTTTGTATTCACGCGATACCGTCTGAAGAATTATAAAACTTTCTTGAAATTTGTCTACCCCCGTCAAAGAAATATTAAGTATGTATTTTTTTACGACAGCAGAATATCAAATTCGGTACAAACTTAAGGTTTTCGTGAAATCATTTATTTCTTAATTAAAATGTCGTACGTTAGGACATTTCGTGTTGTAAGTTCGGAAATGTCACAATCATGGAAAACCAATTAGGCGATTTCTTTAATAAAACGCTTTTAATTGTTTCAAAACGCCAACTATATTGGTTGGTACTAAATAAATGTATAAACTGATAATGTATTATAAATAAAACACTTTTAACGGTTTAAAACACGAAGTTTATTAAGAACCGTCCTTAGGAAGAAAATGAAATAAATCTTTAACCTTTATACTAAGGTGAAAAATTTGTTGGGAAGTACGGAGAAAGTTGCATATAAGAATTGCCTTCTATGTATGTAATCATACGAAAAATGCGACTCGTACCTTCGTTTGTGTATTATAGAGCTCGGCATTGGAGACTTGAAGCGTCGTCAGGAAGTAGAGTTGAATAGAGCTCTTATGTTTTTCTATGAAGCCATTGAAAGAGGCTTAGCTTTTTTCCTTCTGAATTATGTATAGCTTCTTAGTAGCTCAAAATGCACTTAATATAATTTCATGAGGAGATATAGGTCGGACGTATAACATCTAGACGACATGCTCTGTCGAGCTATTTTAGCTTAGATCAAAAATCAAATATATGTCTAGTAAAGAAAGATTATTTTTTTAATAATCGAAAAAATGTGGGTGACAGTATGTAACTTAACTTAATCTTAACTTAACTTAATCTTAACTTAAACTTAGCTTAACATAAACTTAACTTAAACTAAACTTAACGTAACTTAAACTTAACTTATCTATCTTTTAAGATTAAGTCGCAAGAGCGACGCGGTCGACGTCCTGGGTAAAAGATAAAATTTCTCAAGCTGAGGAGGCTTTAACGATGGGTATAAATAAAGAAGTAAATTCAAAGTTGGACTTCGTCTGGAAATCTGGATATTCAATAGATGGTTGGAATATCAAAAGTTTGTCCGGATCACAAACCACCGTCCACGGATGAAAAGGACGTGAAGTTGAATCGCGTTTCGGTTTCAGTCTGTTTATTTCCGAATATCCAAAACCAAAATAGGCCGATAGCGCATCTTGTTTAGATGTTATATGGCTAGGGCATTTCACCTACCATCGAGTGAACCCCATGGTTGTCTGTCCTTCTCTATCATGAACAAATTCTTGAGTATGGTACTGTATATAGATTACACATTTAAATAAAACACTTTAACGGTTTAAAACGCGATATCTTAGTTAAACTTACTGGTCGCGGGGAGACCACGGCTGCTACAGCATCCGAAACATCGGGCCGAAGTTGAAAATCATTCTCAAATAAGTTTAACTAATATGCCGCGTTTTAAACCGTTAAAGTGTTTTATTTAAACAATATACAGTTTTTCAGTTACACCAAACAAATTGTGAATTATATTTTTAGAAAGTTTATCGTTATAAATAACAATGTAATAAGAGAATGTTTATTAAACTGTGTATCTCCCAACCTCACAAAAGCGACCGCAACGCTTTGAGTGCAGTAATAACCGTATTTAATTTCAGTTTGTTAAAAATTTAAGTCGCATTTCAGTTTCAGGAGAACTGTTTCAGGGAAATATGCTTCTTTTGTCACTGTTTTATGATCTATTCACAATACATCAAGGTTTTTTATAAAGGGGGGACAGAAAAGCATGAATCTTACTCGATATTCGGAAATCCACAGACTGAAAATGAAACGCGATGAAACTTGACGGCTTTTCATCTGTGGACGTGTCGTCGCCGTGTGCGGACGGAATTCCAATATTCCTACCACCCCATATCCAGATTTCCAAACGAAGTCTAATGTGTTTCGGAAAAATTATAAATTGAAAAATTAGGAACTTGTCGGACCCGGTGGGGTTCGAACCCTCGACCCGATGATTTATATTAGCCAACGAGACGTAGCTGCTTTGTTTCTTCTCTAACTTAAATTGTATTGACACAAGTGTACACGTACATCATATCTCCATCTACAAGGTTGTCTGCAAGAAATCGTTTTTAACGTTAGGCCGCCGCTTCTCGTTGCCTGTTTGTAATTTCTTCTCTTGGAATCTTACTTCTGTAACTTTTTTGTGGTGACAAAGGTACTTTTTATTTGGATTTCAAAGAATATGATATGGTTGAAATTACACTACGCGAGAGGTATCGCTAAGTTGAGAATATTCCACCATGACGTGTAGGACCCGGTAGCTCAAGCGGTTTAAGTCCTGCCCGAGTCGTGAATGTTGCCATCATGTGCAATAACATGTGAAAAGTCTTAAGGTTTTCAAATAAAAACTGTTCCCTGTCTTTCTTTATAACATTGTTAATACAAATAAAACGTTTGTACCACTTATTACAACAGTTAAATAGAAACCAGTTGGGACAATTTAATAAACGCGAATTACGATCGCAACACCCCCGGAAAAGCTTCTGGTTGTGTAAGCCCTGGCTGGAAGCCAAATGTTTAATAGGACGGAACCTTACTCGTGAATTCTTGATTGATGTCGTCTTTATTTGATAAATGCGATCATAGTTAGAGGAAAAAATATTGACAAGAGCTAAGGTAATAAAAAAAATACAAAAATCGGTCAAGTGCGAGTCGGGATAGGGCACGAAGGGTTCCGTACGATTGATTCGGAAACCATATAAATTACATTATATTGTGTATTATTTTAGATGTTCTCCTGTATGGCAAGTTACGGTTTTTTTAATTCTCGAGAAAGTCATATATTTGTCTGTTTGTAGGTTAAATATTAATTTTACTTGGTTTTTAGTATTTTATTTTTTAATGAAAAACAAAGTGCTTTTAAAATCATTTATTAATCAAACAAAAGGTGAGAATCATCTGTATGGTCGTGTACAGGTAAGTGCGTCGCGCGATCTAGCGACGTCTGCGCGCGCAGCTGTACTGCCACTGCGCACCATGATCCTGGCGAACCGAACGCCCGAATTTTCACCAATCCTTCCACTGGGCTAACTTGATACCTATTGTATTAAAAGCATTTGTTAATAATAAACAAACCGTCATTGAATACTGTCTGTGTGCGCGAGTAATAACATTTAAGTAAAGCCGTAATTAAAATAAGTTTTGTCATTCAGTCAGCACGTAACTTTAATTTTTCCACATGATGGCATAATCCTTACTTATATTATAAATGCGAAAGTAACTCTATCTGTCTGTCTGTTACTCTTTCACGCCAAAACTACTGAACGGATTTGAATTAATTTTGGTATACAGATGGTCTAGATCCTGGGAAAGGACATAGGCTTTTAATTGCGAAAAGGGGGTTGAAAGGGGGGGTGAAAAGTTGTATGGAAATTCGTAGTTTTTTGAAGCTAAAAACAATTAACCTTACTTCTTTGGCTTTTTGGGAATAGGAGTGGGAGTTAGAGTAGGAGAGATGTGAGGTGAGAGTGTTGCGGCAAAGTAGCACTTACAACATAGTTAGGCTGCGATAAATGCGCAATTACATAAATTAATAAACAAGTCACTATTCCACGCGGACGAAGTCGCGGGCACAGCTAGTATACAATATAGATCGATTTTAGATTTGGTTAGAGCACGTACCACTGTGGATGCCAGTTCGAGTCTTGCCAGTGTCGTAAATTTTTTTTCAAGCTACAATCGTTTTTAAATAACTAGTATTCAACGGGACGTGGGTTTAAACCCCATCGAGTCCAACATGTATCTAATCAATATAAAAATTTTCTGAAATCTAACACTAAGTAGAATAAGCTGAATACTAAAATGTAGGAATATAGACAGTCCCTCCGTGATCTAAACTTATATTATTATTTAGCCTCCCATAAATTACCTCGCAATATATTGTACGTAGACTCGCTCGCGGCATCGCGGCGCAAGAGTTAAATTTGGCGGCCATGTTTGATAATCCTTTCCGAGGCATTCTACAACTACCTCCATTGTAGCCGAAACTGAAAAATACACTAACTAAAGACACACAAATTTGATTGTAGAACTCTAATCCGTGACAACTTTAAAAAATTAATAAAATGAAAGACAACACCTTTAACGGTTTAAAACGCGAAATGTATTCGTTGACTTTTACAAAGCATCCGAAACGTTAAACCGTAGTTAAAAACAATTGAATGTGTGAAATACATTTCGTGTTTAATACCGTTAAAAGTGTAATATTAAAATGCGTACTGCTCGCGTAAGCGACATGAGACATGGTCACAAATGTATTTCAATTAATAATTTCTTAAACAAAACACTTTAACTGTTTGAAAAAAATATTTTTAACTACGGCCTGACGTAGGGCGGGAGACCACGCCTCCTCCCGTGACCACGGCTGCTGCAAAGCAGCCGTAGTTAAAAATATTTTTTCAAACAAGTTTAACTAAAATATATCGCGTTTTAAACCGTTCACGTGTTTTATTTAAATGTGTACTACTCACGTAAACTACAGACAGTATTTAATAATTTCTTTTCTCAAACTTACAGCTCGTCTGCATTACAGTGAAGAAGGTATTCCTCCGATCTCCGTCCATTACATAACCAAAGTCGATCTTCCTCGGCTCCACGGAAATTTGTGGATATTCCACGACCAACTGGAGTGGTAAGGACTGAAACGGAATCCCATTTCTTAATTGGACGGACGGACATTCGACTCACGTCAGCTAAGGGTCGCCGCACACAAGCCAACCCCGCATATTAAATGCATTTGTGACTTCAAACAAAATAAAACAATTTAACGATTTAATACTTTTTATTGCGAAAAGATGCTTGAAAGGGGTGAAGCTAGAACAATGAAACTTTCTTCTTTGGCTTTTTGGGAATAGGAGTGGGAGCGGGCGTGGGAGTTAGAGTAGGGGGGATGTGAGGTGAGAGTGTTGCGGCAAAGTAGCACTTACAACATTGATTTGCTGCAATAAATGCGCAATTACATAAATTTATAAATAGCCTAAATAATCAAAAATTCTACCCCAAGTCACTATTCCACGCGAACGAATTCGCGGGCACAGCTAGTGATCTATAAAAATGACCGCGGCACTATATGTCTGTCTTTTAAAATTAACTTGCAAGTACGACGGAACGCCCTCGTGGGAAACAGCTATAACTAGAGATTTGCACTAACAAATTTGGAAGCCCAAATTAACGATTCTCGCGGACGAAGTCGATGACACATCAGGTGTATGATTACTGCCATAAATCTAGGCTACAGTGGCTAGTGTGCGGGAAGTCTTACACTATCATTGGTAAAGCAATGAGCTCTGAACGGCGTACATATATTGGATATCTTTAAAGATGATTTTTATCCTTTTAAATATATTTTAAAGACAGAGCCACTGTCTCTTGTAAACATATAAAGATGTGTGGATTAGAAGACAATTTCCTGTGTCTGTCTATAGTTAGGAGTTCGGTGTCATCAGCTCTGTGCTTCGAAGAGCACGTTGTGCTACCAGTTCTGATTATCATCCATAGTCTATCTATACTACAAAGCTGAAGAGATTGTCTGTTCGTATGTTTGAATGCGCTAATCTCAGGATCTACCGAGATCGATCGAGAAAGGCTTTAGGCTTTAAAACAACAGACTGCGACCAAGATCGGCGAAGAAACAGTGGATAAGTGGTAAAAATGGAAAAAAAAATGGGGGGGGGGGGGGGGGGGGGGAAAAAAAAAAAAAAAAAAAAAAAAAGGGGGGGGGGGGAAAAAAAAAAAAAAAAAAAAAAAAAAAAAAGGGGGGGGGGGGGGGGGGGGGGGGGGGGGAGGGGGGGGGGGGGGGGGGGGGGGGAAAAAAAAAAAAAAAAGAGGGGGGGGGGGGGGGAAGAGGGAAAAAAAAAAAAAAAAAAAAAAAAAAAAAAAAAAAAAAGGGGGGGGGGGGGGGGGGGGGGGGGGGGGGGAAAAGGGAAAAAAAAAAAAAAAAAAGAAGGGGGGGGGGGGGGGGGGGGGGGGGGGTAAGGGGGGGGGGGGGGGGGGGGGGGGGGGGGGAGGGAAAAAAGGGGGATAGGGGGGTTTTTGGGGGGGGAATCCAAGGGGGGGAAAAAGAAAAGGAAGGTTGGGGGGGGAGTGGGGGGGGGGGATCGGGGGACAAGGAAAAAGGGGGGGTTATTATCTTTCAAAAATAAATTGAAATAAACACTTTAACAAGTTTAAAACGCGATATATTCTTAGTTCTCCCCGAGACCACGGCTGCTGCAAAGCATCTGAAACGTCGGGCCGTAGTTAAAAATAACTTTCAAACAAGTTAACCTAAAATTGATCGCGTTTTAACCGTTAGTGTTTTATTTAAATGTGTACTACTCGCGTAAACTACAGACAGTAGAAAAAAAATTCAATCATTGATACCGTAGCTAACTGGAAAAAGGACGAAATAACTTCATAACTCAATAAAACGAATACGCTAAGCCCGAACTCAGTACGAACTAAACTTCAATTGAATTTTCAATTCCGCGACAGTGTATCGCCATTTTTTAAATAAGTTTCAAAAACAGTCGCGATTTATTCTGTACAAAGAGTTGATGCTTTCGGGTCGTGTAATCGATACCTACCGGGTCGAATGTGTTACTGATCAATTTATTATTTTTTTGTAACATGTGTTAGTTCGTCTGTAAATCATGGATTTTGAAATATGTGATACCTGGACTTCAATTGATGGAATGTAAAATAATATTTAGTATTATTTAAAAATCGAAAATAAATTGAAAAAATTTTCGACTCGGGCAGGACTTGAACCGGCATCGTCAGCTTTCCGTGCTGTTGCTCTACCAATTGAGCTGCCGAGTCCTACACCTCATCGTCGAATTTTTTCAACTTATTGATAATTGTAATTTCATCTTCAATGATTTCTTAAGCTACAAAGCATAAGACATTCCACCTTAGTACGCAAGTGTTAAGGTTGAAATTACACTGCGCGAGAGGTGCGTGTATCAATAAGTTGAAAAAATTCGACGATCAGGTGTAGGACTCTCAGGACGGTAGCTCAATTGGTTTAGCAACAGCACGGAACGCTGACGATGCCGGTTCAAGTCCTGCCCGAGTCGAAAATTTTTTCAATTTATTTTCGATTTTTAAATTATAATATAGTGCCTTCATGTGCTCATGAAGATGCTCTGTCAATTTTATTATTTTGATTGATGTTGATAAATTTAAATAAAACACTGTAACGGTTTACAAACGTGGCCGCGGCTGCTGCAAAGCATCCGAAACGTCGGGCCGTAGTTAAAAATCATTTTCAAATAAGTTCAACTAAAATATATTGCGTTTTAAACCGTTAAAGTGTTTTATTTAAATGTGTACTACTCGCGTAAACTACAGACAGTATTTGCTATTGATTAAGTTACCACTTACATTCACGACTAGATCCGGACGCAATTTCAATATTACCAACATACAAATATTCCAGACAAACATTTAAAAACATATTCAGCCTGGTGGGGATCGATCACCCGTTGATCATTAACCAAACATTGCTACTGTTCTAATGTCCGTTTCCATGTGAAAATAGTTAAAACTTTCTGAGTATTAAGATAAATTACCATCAAAAATATGTTTTGGTCGTCAAAGAATCTAAGTTCATTCGTGATACATCTTCTTCTCTCATAGTCCTCTTGGGGTTTTGGCCACATCTCCTCTGTCACAATTGTTACTTCTATCGCAATCTGAAGTGACAAAATTCATGTCAAGTTCTCTTCACCACACTGATAACAATATTAACGTGGATATATGTATAGACAACAGACAAGCTGTATAACACTTTGCGCTATCAACCTTTTTTGGCTTTGGATATACGGAAGTTAAAAAAAAGAATAAACGCGTTTCTTTACTTACTTGACGGCTTCTCCATCTGTGGACGGTTCGTGATGCACGCAATTTCGATATTTCTATCACCAGATCCAGATATCATTTCCAGAAAAAGTCCAAATATTATAAATCGACTAGCAACATGTTGGAGCAGATGTGGACAAACCCTCGACCCGTTGTTTATTACCCATACATTGCTACCGTTACACAACCTGGCCCATCAAACGGTTACGTCTACTGACCTCAGTAGAACTTCTAGCCAGCAGATCTAGGTTCAGCACCGTGGACCCAGGACCTGGATCCAGGCATTTAGCGTCGCACTGTTCTTGCGCAACTCTTATGAACCAGGGGCACTCTGTGATGGCGAACGCTTGAAGAGGTCCAGAACCGGTGTTCATAACTCGGAGTCGTTTACGTATTCTATTATAATAAATATCTTTATGTAACAGTTTAGATAGTAAATAAATATTTAAACAAATTTCTAGAATAATTTTCGCAGAGCACGCAACAGAAACTTAGATATGAACGATTTTCCCCATTCTTTCCACAATTCCCTCTGTTCCTTCGCCCTCATTGGCCGCAGCATGATGTGTTAGCTTGTTTTCATGTTGTTTAACTTTTTAATTCGTACCAGCAGTTCTTGAGATTCGCCCGTTCAAACAAACTCTTGTAAACAAAATATTAGTATAGATTGCTGTTTGATAACCTTAATATGTCGTTCGCTGGCAAATCCAGGGCGCAGATCCTCACTATCAATTGTTTTGGCATCACCAACAGCTTTGGAAGCCGTGTGACAGCCAACAGTCGAACAGTCAGGGGTGGTGGTTCCGGACGATGCCAGCCAGGCCTGAAGATGCAAAAAATTGAAGACATACATTGGTATGGGCGAAGCACGTATCTTGATAACAATTATAGGCCATCAAGTCTCCGTTTGTTTCATTAAGTTACAGCATAAAAAATCTATGTATATAATTTTATAAGTAATATTAAGACATAATTTAAGAAAAGCTGCAATTAAAATAAAATATATTTTTATAATAATATAAACATAAATACAATATGAAATTAAGAAAAAATCGTTTTTCATTACTACCCTCCTTTTTACTTAACTATATTATTAATTAACATATTTGAAGTTATAAAACATATATAAATAAACATTGTCTGTCTTAATGAATGTATACTTTCAATCAAACATATGTAACGGTTTCAAACCGCGAACTATATTAGAGTTTTCACGGGCATAAATGTCAACTATATATAGTGTCAACTAGTGTTAATACAATATTTTTAATTGAGAGAGTGACAGAACTTGGGTTGGAACCCCTGGGAAGTGTCAACAACTACTTGTCCATAGAAGAACCTATCAGTAATGCGTTCGCCCCATGCCCCACGGGAATAATTAATTATTTTTTTGTTAATTCATACATATACATAATACGACATAATATCTTCGATCTAGACAAGAATATAAATGATCAAACTACTTTGCTTTTTCGAATTTGCAACTCAGCTACAAAGGCAGCACTATTTTAAAAATGGAACTCTAATTCCATTGCGAAAACAATGCAATTCGCAATTTAAAACAACGTCAAAGTTGACGCATTCTAATTTTAAAACTCTACAAGAGAAAGATTTTCAGAGACCCGCGCAGCGAAGTGGCTTGTTGAGTTGAAAAACTTTGAATAACAATGAAGCCCCTCCATCTTAAAGTCTTTTGCACTTAACTAACCTATTGTGTACGGACCCGAGACATTGTTGATTTAACCCGATTCCCCTGCATTGTCTTAAATAGTCTACTAACGAGATTTCCCCTTGAATCGCGATTACAATGAAGAATGGTTACAAACCATTCTATCAGCTTGTTGATTTAGGCTTCCGTTAATTCTCTGTTGTAATTTTCGTATGATTGATTGTGTTTGGCGATTGAAGAAGTAATTTATGACAGTAGATTTTATTATGCTCTCGTAATTGTAAACAATATAAATAAAACACTTTAACGGTTTAAAACGCGATATATCAGTTGAACTTATTTGAAAATTATTGTTAACTTCGGCCCGACGTTTCGGATGCTTTGCACCCTCCCCGTGACAAGCATCCGAAACGTCGGGCCGAAGTTAAAAATCATTTTCAAATAAGTTTAACTAATATATCGCGTTTTAAACCGTTAAAGGGTTTTTAATTAAATCTGCATTACACGTTTGATATTATTTATTCTTTTAATCTGTTACTTGAAATTTTAGTACATACCAGGTAACGAAAGGTCCATATCTATACTAATATTATAAAGCTAAAGCATTAGTTTGTTTAAACGCGCTAGTCTCGGGAACTACTTACTGTTTCAATTGAAAAAAAAAATGTGTTGGTTGGAAAAATGGGGAAAATGACGTACGTTGTGGAAACGGTTCAAGGTACCCCCAAAATTTATATGAAAGAATGATTCGTCTTTAAATGATTTAAAATAATGTCCACGATATTATATGTCTGTATGTTTTTTTTAAGATTATCTCGTAAGAAAGACGAGACGCTGACAACGTCTTTGGCTTCAATTTATAGAGATGAACAAGAGGTTTGCAAAAACAAATAGCCATTTTACCCGGGACGAAGTCGCTGACACAGCTAGTATATATAACAGTGGTCGCATTTCTATGTAAACCTATCCTTTACTTACCGAAGTCTTATAAGATAACCGTTCGGAACGTACACTCTCCGGTACTAACGAGAGAAAACGCATTAGTCATAAATAGTTCTGATTTACACCGCTAGGGGGAGACCCATAAACACACTTCTGTAATAGAGAGAGGTCCGAGCGCCAAGTTTTATAACTAAAGTTATTGCCATACGTAAAATCTCGTTGGTCTAATGTTAGCAGTGTATATACGGATCATGGCTTCGACTCCTACCTGATCCAACATGTTTCTTATAATTTTTATATTTTTTCTAAAACATGTTGTGTTGACTTTGTCTGGAAATCTGGAAATATCGAAATTCCATCTAACCATCGTTCACAGGTGAAAAAGTAGTGAAGTGTAATCGCGTTTGGTTTTCGGTCTGTGGACTTCCGAATATCCAAAGTCAACATAGATCGACATGCATCTTGTCAAGATGTTATGTAGCTGGTGTATTTCATCTTTCATCGAGTGAACCCTGTGCGGGCCTGACCTTGTAAAGGCATGATTCTTAAATTATTTTTATACTAGCTGTGTCAGCGGCTTCGTCCGGCTAGAATAGTTAGTCGGAAGCGTACCGTCATTCTTGCTAGTTACTCTTAGAAGTTTTTACATCATTTGAAAAGAAATACTGTCTATAGTTTACGCGAGTAGTACACATTTAAATAAAACACTTTAACGGTTTAAAACGCGAAATATTAGTTAAACTTATTCGAAAATGATTTTTAACGAATATATCGCGTTTTAACCCGTTAAAGTGTTTTATTTAAAAGGAGTACTTAGATCATAATACACATTTTTGGGTAATTTGTACCGTTTTTGCAGCGTACGCAATGGAAACAAACCCAGACAGATGAATATTTACCCCGTTTTTTTCACATTCTCCACTGTATCTTTGCTTGTATTAGTCACAGGGCGATGTTTTATAGCCCATAGCTTTCCTAGATAAATGCTCTAACCAACACAAAATATTGTTTTAATTCGAACCAGTAGTTCTTGAGATTAGTGCGTTCAAACAAACAGACTCTTCGCCCTTATATTAGTACTGATAGATTGCTACCATCAAACCAACAAGGGCGTCGCTAAGATATATAAATGTATAATTAAAGCCATAATATAAATTGTTCGAATATTTAGAATATTCTCGAATTCCATGTTAACTAATATATTTCGCGTTTTAAACCGTTTATATGTTTTATTTAAATGTGTACTACTCGCGTAAACTGCAGACGCGTGTACGCTGCTACGTAACGTGTTACAGCGCGTTAAGTTTAAGCTACCACTTTTATCGAAAGCAAAGTTGTTTTTCGTCATTTTAAACCGTTTAATTTTCATATTCAAATAGTATACATATGTTAAAAATATGTCTGTATAAGTATTTAGTGAAATAAACTTAAATTAGTTTATCGAATATATTTTGCGTTTTAAACCGTTAAAGCGTTTTAATCGAAAAGATTTACCCGCTGTTATCCAAAGGCCGAAGTCTCATCAAAATTACAGTTGGCGGTGGCGGTGCAGGATCACCAGAAATCGTAACCTGGAGTGTGGTGGTCGAGTTTGGCTCCATCTTGAACTCTCTAGGTTCAACCTGCGAAACCATAAAAGTGTGTCAACCTTTTTCCATGTGGGGTATGGGGCGTAATCCGCCACAAAATCTTGATGCTAGCACTGTCTGTAGTTTACGCGAGTAGCACACATTTAAATACAACACTTAAACGATTTAAAACGCGATATATATTAGTTAAACTTATTTGGAAGCATTTAATTTCCAAATGCGTTTATCTAATATACACCGCGTTTTAAACGGTTAAAGTTTTTTAAAATACTAATAAGTTAATTATAACTTTTTTTTGTTTTTCGATGTCCATTAGTATTAACTAATGGACATAGAAAAACAACTTGTTTCGACGGTATTCGAACCCGGGACCTCGTGTTTAACGCAGTGTTAGGCAACGTGGCACGTTGCAAGGTACAAATTTTGTGACCAACAGAAAAATAATTTCTCAATACGAACCAGCAATTCCGGAGATTAGCGCGTTCAAACAAACAAAATTTTCTGATTCATAATACAAGTACAGAGAAAAATAGACAGACAAATGAAAAATTTACAAAGTAATTACTTGGACAAGTGTAATAATAAAACAGACATTTTAAATTTATGAATGCGAATCGATCGTAACGATTATTTACTATTAATGTATTAACTTTACGAGGCTAGGTTAGCTCAAATGGTTAGCATGAAACGCTATGTATGCCAGTTCGAGTCCCGCCCGTGACGTTATTTTTTTTCAATCTAAATATTTTTGACTTTTAATTTATCTGTGCCAAAAACATGTAAAAATTCTCAAATATTTGTGTATTTGTGCTGCTATAATATAAATGTAGAAAGTAAGGTAAAAATCTATTTAAAGAAAATATGATCTTGCACGTGGAAATCTCTTAATCTACTACTTTTATATTTATTTTATCATTAAAAATTAATTATTTCATAATTATATTTTTTTATATTCTAATATATTTTATATTTACTTTAAACTTACCTATTATAAGTAATTGAATAAATATATCTGTACGTGACTCCTAACCAAGAACTGCAATAAAAATTATATAAAAAACATTTATCATTAAAATTCCAAGACAATCAACGACTCCCCTCACGCGTCTCCATTTTTAGATACCCTTCCACCTACCCCCCCCCCTTTCATATTTATCAATTCTTACTTATTTAAATTTATATCTTCAAAATATTTATTTAATTTACATTTAAAAACCATATATTTATATCAATTATTTAAATATTTATAATTAAATATTTTATTTTAATTCCATTATTTCTCAATTTATTTTTAATTTTTTATTATAATTTTTTATATTAATTTTTTTTTTTTTTACACCAATAAAACTAAAAATACTTTATATTTTTATTTTATTTATAAATAATTTTAATAATATTAATTAATTAATTAATAATTATTACAATTTTTTATATTTTTCCGTTGAGCTACCGTCGAATTTTTCAACCTATTGACACATGCGTACGCGCAATGTAATTTAAACCTTAACACTTCGTTTTACATACTGTATAGTTGATGTTATCTTGGACGCCGTAATCTCGTGCGAGGTACAGCTCAGTTTCCGTCTATTTCCGAGTACTCCGAACTGCTGTTCTTATCTGAATCTTCATCAGCGTACGATATGGCTGAGGGGTGAAGTGAAATTAATATCAATTGTATTTTTTTATGATAGAGGTAAAATATCCCAGCCACATAACATCTAAACAAGGTGCGCTTTTGACCTATTCTAGCTTTGGATCTTCGGAAATCCAAACCGAAAACAGGACAGAATAAACTTAAGGGCTTTTCCCTACCACCCATTTACAGGATCCAGCTTTCAAGACGAGGACGATTTTTATGTATATTAGGTTGAGTTTATACTAGTCGTACTACTGCAACTACGTACTATTACTATAACGTTTATACTAGTAACCTATTTGAAAATGATTTTTAACTTTGGCCCGACGTTTCGATGCTTTGCAGCAGCTGGTCACGGGGAGACTAAAGATGGAAACAGGAAACAATCTTGCTCATACATAATTTTTTGGGTATCTTGAACTGTTTTTGCAGCGTACGTTCATCGTACCTATAGCGATGAATCATTTTCCCAATTTTTTTTCACATTTTTCGGTGTATCTTCGCTTCGTCTTGGTCAGCAGGGCCATGAGTTTTCCTCGATAACGGCTGCTAGCCAAGCATCCGAAATACTTAAATACTGTCTATAGTTTACGCGAGTAGTACACATTCAAATAAAATTCACTAATATAACGCGTTTTAAACACGATATATTGTTAAACTTATTTAAACTTAAATACTTCTTCAATTCGAACCCGTAGTTCCTGAGATTAGCGCGTTCAAACAAACAAACAAACTCGTCAGCTTTATAAATTAGTATGAATGTTGATACGCCATTTACTTCAAGCTATGAATGGATTTATAAGCAACCAAGGTGTTTGCTTAGTAATTCAACAGTCAGCAGAGGTAAGATTTTCAACGAACGTCATTAATTTCCCCCATCGTCTAAACTCGACGATAAACGATGAGGCACGAAGATTTATGGATCCCCGTTAGCAGGTAAATAGGGTTGCAAATGATTTTTGTGCAAAATAATATATTTTTAGTAGCTTTGCCTGCGACTTCGTTTGCGTGGAATGGTTTATTTTCGGCATCATATTATTTACTTTTGCAAACAACTTTATAAATTCTAGCCGTTACTCACGACAACGGTCGCGTCTCGTCGTTCTTGCAAGGTAATCTTAAAAGATAGACATATACTGTCGGAAATGTGAAAAATTTAAAAATCGAAAATAAATTGAAAAAAATTTTCGACTCGGGCAGGACTTGCAGGAAAACATTAAGTGACAGTTTATTTATCTTAAGCCATAGGTAATGATTCCCGTTTTCTACTATATTTTTTTAATTCATGCCTAATCGAGTTATGAACATAAGATACACCCCCTCCTTGTGTTGAGTCTGAAATTATATATATGGAGTAATTTGGCAAATTATAAAGCTGGGCATCCTGTTCAGATCTAATCCACGTCTCAGTAAATATCATTATATGTACCGTTCTCGGTATCGTCCTTACAATACATTGGATTTCACATTTCCAAATTTGCATAAAAGAATCTTGAAGATCATGCAGTCGTTGGTATTTCCTCATTTTTGTTGACTCGATGGTGCTTTATTTTATCCGTCTTATTATTTTTAACATCTAAGCCAGCGTTTGTAGTATTAATTTTTTCTATTATAATTATAACTATGTACTATTTTGATACCTTTTATAAATTTTATAGTTAGTTTTCACCTGTTTTCTCTCTTTGTAATTCACGTTTTAAACAGTCGAAGCATTGTTTTTGTGATGGAGTTTTATCAAAAAAAAATCTGTGTTTCGATGAAAGGATTGTTTTGTTTTTTAGAATCATTTTTTGTACTTTCGTATCCTTGAAAAAGATTTTATTTGGGTGTCTCTATCAACTCTATAGTTACTGAGTCTCACACATTTATGTGGCTTTACACAGTCGGTTTGCAACATTTATCACTTCCTTCATATCATGATCCTGTCCGGCCATATAGTTTTTTTCAGGTATTTCGGAAACACCTGTTAGGATTATATTTTTTTTCTCGCTCATAGCGGTCTTTAACTTATTAATTCTTCATGCTTCTCGTTTTGATTCAGTGTAGTTGATTGTTTAGACTGTAGTTTCTTGACTGTATGCTCTAAATGTTTAACATTGTCTTGTTGATTCGAGATTTTTTTTTTCAAAAATTCTACATCTTTTAATACCTCTTCAAATTGCAGTGACAGATTTCATGTTTTTTATTTCCGTTCTAATATCAGATATTTTGTTACTTATCAAAGTCATATTTTCTGATTGCATTTTACCTAAATCTTCGAATAATTTTATAATATCTGTCTTGAAGTCTCTAAAATCTTGCTTATAAAGTCACATTATTTTGTACGATCTTGTCTCTTTTTTATGTTTACATTATAACGTAACTCATCATCTTTATAAGTGCACAAATTGGGCACTGACCCACCAGTACTGTACAATCATCTTTATATCTTACTCGCCTTCTTCCAAATATTTTTGCACTTAATATTACAATTTTTGTTCGTAGCTTTTGTCTACCTCTGTCTATGTGAGATTAAGAAAACTTTTGAAAATTTATCTTGATTTTCTTATTAATTTACTGGCACAGGCCCCACGATTATTGCTTGATGATTAGCGAAACGTTCAGCAGTCCTTGCACTGTGTCATCCACTATTCCTTACACTTGCTTGGTTCCCATTTAGTTATATCTTTGTTAATCACCGCCATTGTTGTAAGATACAGAAGCAGATTTCTTGCACTTAGTTATGTTTATCACTTCAACTGAATGTAACAGCAATTCACAGTCACTTTATCTTGCTTTTGTATAATTTATTACGACGTAAATATTAATTTTTTTTTTTTCACAGAAGACTTTGTCGAATACATGTGACTTATTGGAGTTGCCACCTCAAAAAAACACATACGAATACAATTCCCCGCAAATGAATTAGATATGTTATGGAGCCTATATTTGGGGATAGCTAGGTTATCCTTATTTCTTAAGTTCAAATTAAGTCTATCGCTATTCTTGCTGAACTTGCTTTTATTCTTATGGAAATACAATACATTTTTCATAAATATACTGCGAGTAAACAGTATGCCGATATTTTTAAAGGTATCTCTTGATGACTTAATGACGGTGGTTTAAATGACTAAATTCCGAAGTCACGAGCCACAGTTCCGCCCGCTTCCGTCCCTTCGACACCTTATTTTTGACTTCGCAGGAATCGTTCAGCGCTAAAGATTCGCGCCGCTACTACGCAGACGCGAAAAATAATACAGCACTTTTAATTATGGTACTAGTGGCAGCCCTGCAGGTAAAGGTTTCCCGGCTTTTATGACATTACTTACTGGCTTTAAACTTCCATAGCTCAAACAACCCGGTCCCGGGTTCGATTTCCGGGGAAACGATAAATTGTTTCAGTCGAATATCATCAACGAGTTTTTATAAAATTGATGAGTTAAACGAACATAGAATTAAAATACGCTCTGTAGTTTACGCGTACGCACACATTTAAATATAACACTCGAACGGTTTAAAACGCGAAATATATTAGTTACATTTATTTACAGATTATTCACGTCAACAAGACACGTCGGGCTGTAGTTCAAATCATTTTTTCACCCGTTTAAATTAAAAAGGGTTTCATTTAAATGTTTTAACGGAGAGTATTTAATACAATTATTATTTTAAATTGAAAAAAAAAAACAGTCACCTTACGAATTGAACCGGCACATATAACGACGATAATTATTAACTCTATAAACTACTTTTGAATTAATTTAATTAAACCGTTCTTAGTTTACGCGAGTAGGTACTACACTTTTAAATAAAAAACTTCAACGGTTTAAAACGCGATACATATTAGTCACTAATAAATCTACCCGTAACCACTGCCGCCGCAAATCATCCGAAACGTCGGGCCGCAGTTAAAATAATTTTCAAACAAGTTTAACTAATAGATATCGCGTTTTAAACCGTCAAAATGGTTTCATTTAAATAAAATGAATCGATTCAATAAAGTAAGAATAACAAACTTACAATCTAAAGCCGTGACACAGGGACAAGTTCTTGAAGGGACATAGTAGAAGCGAAGGTAGAGACGAAATGGTAGTTCATCTTGGGGATATTCTGAAAATAGTAATATTTTAGCATATGTCCAAATTGAATACTGTCTATAGTTTACGCGAGTAGTACACAATTTAAATAAAACACTTTAACGGTTTAAAACGCGATATACTTAGTTAAATTTATTTGAAAATGATGAAAATGTCTCCGCGTGACCACGGCTGCTGCAAAGCATCCGAAACGTCGGGCCGAAGTTAAAAATCCATTTTCAAATAAGTTTAACTGATATATTGGTTTTAATCCGTTAGAGTGTTTTATTTAAAAATACCCAATTTCAGATCAATTTTGAAATATTAAACCATAGAAAGGATCGAAACTAGGGACCGTTGCTTATCATCAATACATTGAACCAATAAAAGCCGAGAGCAAAGGAACTTTTCATTAGGTATTTGGCCTTCTTTTAAATTCTGTTTTTGGGGTCTACTTCTTCGCTTATCTTAAAAAATACTAAATTTAGTCCCCGCGTGACCACGGTGGCTATAAAGCCTCCGAAACGTCAGGTCGTCGTTAAATTAAATTAAAAATAAGTTAAGTAATATATTGCACGATGTAATCCGTTAAAAGTGTTTTATTTTAATGCGTACTACTTGCGTATAGGAAATTCCGTTTCCCATTTGTTATACTGATCAATTGTATTTACAAGTAGTTGATCAGACTATTGTTCTCTGCCCGACCGAAATAATCTATTGTTTCCCCTGATTCGAACACAGGACCTCTCGCGCTTAACGCAATGCTAAGCAATACGTATAAACCATTTAGCTAGACGTGATCATCTGCGGAGAATGTAAATCTGTTTCAATCAACACAATGTTGCATCTACACACGTATTTTTTTTCCATTATTCTAAGTCTATTTACTTTAAAAAGGAGGAGAAAAGTTGGTTTTCAGTGCCCCCCCCCCCCCGCACTCTTTCTTTTTCTTTTTCTTCTACTCTTAGTTGGTAAAGCACATGCCAAGTGCTTTCCCCCATTTCACAAGCATTCTTTTTTAAAATGTAAGCTAATATTTAAGTTGACCGCCTCTGTAGCCAAATGGTTAAACGTATTGCCTAGCATCGCATTATGCGCAAGAGGCCCTAGGTTCGAATCCCAGGGGAACAAAAAAATCTTCCGGTCGAGTAGAGCATAGACTCTGATCAACTTGCCTGTTAAAAAAATCGACCAGTGAAACGGACGCAGAAATGTGTTCGCCACGATGTCCCACGAGGGGGAAACGGAAAAAAATTTCACTCTGTAATATTTAAGTTATTTATGTCTGAAAATGTTTGTTTGACTTAATTAAGCTAAGCTAAGCCGCACACACGAGGAATTTAATAAGAACAAAATGAGTATTCTTAAGCCGCGACGGTTCGGCCTATCTGTCCCGTCACAAGTAATTCGGTCGGTATTAGACTGGCGAAGGACGTGAGAGAAATTCGCCTGAGCTAAGACGGATTTGGTATAAGGGCCCGTTTACACTATGTTATTAACGATTTATCGTTAAACGGACCCCCTCCTTTTACATTTTTGTGGGAGGGGTTTACATTTATTGATCAATATTTGTTTTACAGGCAATTTGTTGATCAGTCTTCCGTGCCCTGCGTGTTACGCGAAGCAAATGAAATAAAAAAACACCGAAATTTCAATAAGGAGGACGGCCTCAAATTATCAAATACTTGTCATATTAAAAACTCTGGATCCCAATAAACAGCATACCGGCAAACGCGAAAATACCATTAGTCAATTCTGTAAGGACCCCGCCAGTTTCGCCAAATACCAACTTCGACGGAACAGATGGCTCTAGCGTAGCAATTTTCTACTTTGACGTCAGGCACATCCTCCATCTTTAGTCTCCCCGTGACCACGGCTGCTGCAAAGCATCCGAAACGTCGGGCCGAAGTGAAAAATATATGCATTTTCAAATAAGTTTAACTAATATATCGCGTTTTAAACCGTTAAAGTGTTTTATTTAAATTTTAAAAGCAATTAGTGATCATACCTCTGTGCCTGGCCAGTCCGAAACATATAAACTTTTTCTAGGGATTCGAACACAGCACCTCTCGCGCTTAACGCGATCTCTAGACACGCGGTAAGTATTACGTACCACTAATCATTTTTTTAAAGCAATTAGTTGATCAGACTTCTGTGACCTGCCAGGCCAAAACAATTTACCGTTTTCCAGGGACCGAAGATATATTTTTTTTAACATGTGAGACTTTATCTGGTATCGATATCACTCCAACCGGATAACGAACCACAATTTATAGACGGCAGAGCCACAAAGTGCGGTACATACTCAGTTTGGATTTCCGAATGCCTAAAGTGAAAATAGGCCGACTGCGCATCTTGTTTCGATGACGTACGGCTGGAATATTTCTCTTTCCATCAAGGTAAAAATGTAGACTGTCACAATTACTAGTCTGTAGTTTACGCGAGTAGTACACATTTAAATAAAACACTTAAACGGTTTAAAACGCGATATATTTTAGTTGAACTCGTTTGAGAATTATTTTTACCTACGGCCCGGATTGGATGCTTTGCAGCAGCCGTGGTCACGGGGAGACATTTTCATCATTTAAAAATCGAAAATAAATTGAAAAAATTTTCGACTCGGGCAGGACTTGAACCGGCATCGTCAGCTTTCCGTGCTGTTGCTCTACCAATCGAGCTACCGAGTCCTACACCTCATCGTCGAATTTCAACCTATAGATACATGCACCTCTCGCGCAGTGTAATTTCAACCTTAACACTTGCGTATTTCCAAATAAGTTTAACTAATTGATCGCGTTTTAAACCGTTCAAGTGTTTTATTTAAATGTGTACTACTCGCGTAAACTATAGACAGTATACAATTTGGACATTGTCGCGTAGCAATTTTTACTTTGACGTGACCACGGTGGTCACGTCAAAGTAAAAATTGCTACGCTAGCGCCATCTGTTCCGTCGAAGATGGTAGTTGAATTACCCCAGCCTATAGCATCTAAACAAGATGCAGCTATCGACTTATGTCTTATATTATAAGTTATATCTTATAGTCAAGTGTGGAAGAGCCCTTTGCGATGTGTTAAACAGTCTTACAAACTTGCAGCCTAATCAACAAATTAGACTTTGAAAGTTCTTTCAAGAGTAGATTAGACCTTTATATCTAAAGCTCAATTTATTATATAAAGCTAAAGAGCTTGTTTGTTTGAATGCGCTAACCTCAGGAACTACTGGTTCGAAATAAAAAAAATTGTGTTGGTTAGAACATTTATCGAGGCTATAAACATCGCACTGTGCAAAGAAAAAACGGGCAGAAAACGCGAAAAATTATTTATCTCTGCGGTTTTGTTGCGCACGCTTAAAAATAAAATAAAATAAAATATACTATATTCTCTTTGAAGAATGTTGGTTCGTCTGTCTGTTTGTCGTGATTATACAGAGTGTTCAAAAGAGCAACATAACTGAGAAGAACACCCAAGGAACTCAGTCCGGCTTTTTTAACATGTCTTATAAACTAGTACATTGAGAATTTATTAACCTAAGGAGCTATTCATCTTACTGCCAGGCGGTCTTGTCATTAAAGAAATCGTTCAGACGATAAATCGCCTTTTGAGACAATCTAAATTTTATAATGTTTTTAAATTTATTAAAGATAGAGACATATACTGCCGCAAACATTTTATATATTATTTAAGGAAGAATCATTCCTCTATATATTTTTTGCTCATACTATCAACGGATGCATCAGAAAACTACAGACGAAAAATTTCCCCCGTTTTGTTCACATTTCGCTGTATCTTCGCTTCCATTAGTTAGCGCGATGTTTTATAGTATATACCCTTCCTCGATAAATGCTCTAACCAACACGAAAATTATTTTTCAATTTGAGCCTGTAGTTTCTGAGATAAGCGCGTTCAAACAAACAAACTCTTCAGCTTTATATATTAGTATAGATTTAAAGAAGAATAATTCCTAGTTAGACATTATATATATTATTAGAATATTTCTTATATTTCAATTCGAACCAGTAGTTCCCGAGATTAACACCTTCCAACAAACAATCTCTTCAACTTTATAATATTAGTATAGATAAAAACACTTTTTACGGATTATTGAAAACCGCTGACACAAAAGAATAACGTTATTTCTGCCGACGAAATTATTTCAGCGGCAAACGGTAAATCATTAACGACATTACGACATGAATATTAATTTCATATCTTTCATATTATATTTTCGATAAAGAGTTATTTATCACTTCGTCCTTCGTTTTAATGGGAAATATATATTCGGTGTATCATTCTGTTAAAACATTTTGTTTATCAGTTAAATTATTATTTCACAAACAGCATTTCGACAACATTTTTCGAGAGGAATCGAACTCACTGTCGAGCAGCGGCCGGCGATGGTTGTATGAAAATTCATATCTGTCGTGTTTAGGCCAAATAAATTTGAAATTAGAACGATCCACTCCGCAACATGGCGACCGAAGAGGTTACTTATCAAAGGTTGGATTCAAATTCGAACTGGCACATACAAAGTTGTCTAGAAGAAAATGCTTAGGGGAACAAAAAACTATTGTTATTAGTTGAATACTGTCTATAGTTTACGCGAGTAGTACACATTTAAATAAAACACTTTAACGGTTTAAAACGCGGGGAGACCTCTCCATGACCACGGCTGCTGCAAAGCATTCGAAACGTCGGGCCGAAGTTAAAAATAATTTTCAAATGTTTAACTAATATATCGCGTTTTAAACCGTTAAAGTTTTATATTTAAATTGTTATTAGTTGTTCGGAAACTTCGTCATTGGTTTTAAAGTCCTGAATTGTACTTAGTTTTAATTTTCGCGCATTATTTGAGAAACGTACTAAGCCTTGGCAACAACAATGCTTTGATAGACTTACATTCATCCATCAATGCCTATCTTGCCGACCGCAACAGTACTGCACTAGAGATAATAATTGTGTTTTTGATATCAATAAAACATGGTATTTGATTTAAATAAAACACTTAACCGGTTTAAAACGCGATATACTAGTTAAACTCATTTGAAAATGATTTTTAACTTCGGCCCGACGTTTCGGATGCTTTGCAGCAGCTTTCCAACTTCTAATAAGTCTCATTACTATATCGCGTTTTAAACCGTTAAAGTGTTTTATTTAACTCTTTAATGTAAATAATTAATTAATATTACCATATTTGTTTGTGCAATAAAGTGTTTTATTAATATGAAAAATTTTATTATAAGTAACTTACGATTTTCAGTAATAACGTAAGTCTGAACATTCAGACACGAACGAGATGGATTTGCCACGACCAAAGCTCGCTCCGGATCTGACGATGACATCCTGAAAAGATATAAGGGTGCTTATACACAAGCAAAACTTACAGATACCAAACAATAGTCTACTGTTATGTCAAAAGTTAATCAGTCTTTGCGTTCTCTTATATTGTAATGGCTAAAAATCGTCTGTAGTTAATGCGAGTAGTACACGTTTAAATAAACACACTTTTAACGGTTTAAAAGGCGAAGATTAGAATCGGCAGCGTCCGTGATCACGAAGGTGGCTGTCCCTGCTTAACTATGGAATCACATAAAAGCAAGCATCCGCAACGTCAAGCTGTAGTTAAAATGATTTGTAAATTAGTTAACCTAACATACATAACTTACATTTTTCGTTTGAAACCGTTAAAAGTGTTCTATTTGAATATTTTCTACCCGCGTAAACTACAGACTTAAATGAAACCATGTCTTGTGTCCTAATTGATATAGCTATATATAGTTCCTTCACAATCTTGAAAGATAGACATTTAACATCGCGGACATTTTTGCAGATCATTTAAAGATTCTATTACATATACATATTTTTGGATATCTTAACCGTTTTTGCAGCGTAGGCAACGGAGACTTTCAAAGAAGAATAATTTTTCCCGCTTTTCTACTTTTCCTACTATTTCTTCTCTCCTTATGATTTCTTCTTGATATTTTTACCTATAGCCTTCCTCGTTAAATGGTCCGACCAACACAAAATTTCAATTCGAACCAGTAGCTCCTGAGATTAGCGCGTTCAAACAAACTTTTTCTTTTTTTTTTTTAAAAAAAAAAAAAAACGGCGCCCCCCCCCGGGGGAAAAAATTTTTTTTTGGGGCACAAAATTTTTTTTTCCCACCCCCCCTTTTTTTTTTTTTTTTTTTTTTTTTCCTCCCCCCCCCCCCCCCCCAAAATTTTTTTCCCCCCCCCCCCCCTTTTTCCCCGGTTTTGGCGCTTTCAAACAAACAAACTCTTCAGCTCTATACACTAGTATAGATTAGCGCCCTCAAACACGAGATCTGTTTACCAGAGGGATTAGAGGGTCTTGTTAATGACGTAATTCAATCTATTGTGACATGTTATGCGAATCGATTCGACGTTAATGACCGAATAACATGTATCGAATTGATTTAATAGTAATCTTGAAATAGTATGAGCAGGCAAGCGTTAAATAAATACATTGCATATAGGAGAATCTTCAAAATGAAAATGTTCGGATTGGTATTTTATTTAACTATATGTATAAACTAGCTGTATCAGCGACTTTGTCCGCGTAGAACTTAAAATAAAATAAAAAATACTTTATTCTCTTCAAAATACTGTCTACAGTTTACGAGAGTAGGATACATTTAAATAAAACACTTTAACGGTTTAAAACGCGATATATTAGTTAAACTTATTTGATCAGTCTCCCCGTGACCACGGCTGCTGCAAAGCATCCGGGCCGAAGTTGAATTTCATTTTTCAAATAAGTTTAACTAATATATCGCGTTTTAAACGGTTAAAGTGTTTTATTTAAACATTATTTAGATTCGTCAACATTTTTTATCTGTCTGTCCGTTCGTCGTGATTCTACAGAGTGTTCAAAAGAGCAACATAACTGAGAAGAACACCCAAGGAACTCAGTCCGGCATTTTTAACATGTCTTATAAACTAATACATTGTGAATTTATATTACCGCCAGAATAGAGAAGAATTCCTCTTTCAATGATATAACAAAAGTCTCCAACTTGCAAGAACGACGGGACTCGGACGACATCGCGGGTAACAGCTAAGTGGACGAGGTTTGCAAAAAACAAATTTTGATATCCAAAATGGCTATTCTAAGCGAACGAAGTCGCTGACACGGCTAGTTAGTTACTATTCTTAGGTAATAATAATATATTTTTTATTTTTTTTATTGTTTTCCTTTTTTAATCTTCACCATTCTTCTCTTATCTTCTCCTTAAACGAACTTACCACAGAATAGGAGTACAAGCGTCGTGACATTGTCCTTGCAACGGAAAGTACAGAGGTGGACCAACCACTTCTATCCAGACGTCCAAAACGATTGAGTCGACGTTGTCAATCTGAATTGACAGATATATCAAGTTAAAATATTACACTTTAACGGTTTAAAACGCGACATATATAAGTTAAACTTATTTGAAAACTATTTTAAGTCTCCCCGTGACCACGGCTGCTGCAAAGAATCCGTAACGTCTAACGTAACTAATATATATCGCGTTTTAAACTGTTTAAGTGTTTTATTTAAATAGATTTTTTATATGTTATTATGTACCCTAGCTGGTAAGCCTTTTATAAGTACATAAATACTTTAAATAAATACTTTAAAGCGAAATGTGTAACTGCAACTGTTGTGAACTACGGCCATTTTCAATGTTTGCAGCAGCAGCACAGCCAGCTAAATTACCACATTTATACTCAACAACACTGTGAGTCAATTCTAAAGGAGACAATGTCTGCAAATATGTATTACGACGAAACAGATAGCGTAGCGGATTTGAGTTTGTTTTTAGTATAGATATCTATATTTCGGGATTTAAACCGTTAAAGTGTATTTGTATACCTAATAGTACTTACACAAGTAATGAAGTAGAAAGGACATACAATATTTATCGTCGTTAGATGTATTGATAATGTATGGGAGAGAAGTGCTGGAATACATAAAATATTTACTCTACCTACTTTGAACGCTAAAACATTCAAGTATTGAAGGAAATTGAGCAGAAACGAGTTTTATTTGCAACTAACGTGAAGCAAATGAATATATGAATAACTAAATACTGTCTCTAGTTTACGCGAGTAGTACGCATTCAAATAAAACACTTTAACGGTTTAAAACGCGGTATATATTAGTTAAACTTTACAAATTACTTTTAACTACGAAGCGACGTTTAGACAGCTTTTTAGCGGCCGTGGTCACGGGGAGACTAAAGATGGAGGGTGTCTCTAATGTCAAAGTAAAAAACTGCTACGCTAGCGCCATCTGTGTCGTCAGGCTATAGCAACATACTTCGCGTTTTAAGCCCTTAAAGTGTTTATATTTATACATACCTATTCACGATACCTAAAATAATGAGTTTTACTTCAATTTTTCGGAAAAAGAAATGGTTTGCACTCTGATTCTCTATCTTTGATTCATTTTTGGGTTTTTGTAATAGTTAGGGAATAGAATCGTGCAGCATCAGCAAATCAAATATTTGAGATGCGGCAAAACTTTTGGTCTTCGGAATGAGTTAGATATAACGTTTAAAAATCGAACATCAATTGAAAAAATTTTCGACTCGGGCAGGAGGTGAACCGGCATCGTCAGCGCTCCGTGCTGTTGCTCTAACAATTGAGCTACCGAGTCCCACACCAGATATAATGTTCCTTTTTTTATGTTTTATGGTAATAAACAAAATTTCCTCTTTTATGATAGAGTGGGACAGCATAACGTTTACTTGATGTTAGGTAAAATAGCCCAGCCATATTACATCTAAACAAGATGCGTTATCGACCTATTTCGTTGTTTTAGATCATTATGGGAAATCATTCTATCGCACATATTGTTTTGTTTTAAATCGTTTCCACAGCGTTCGCATCGTAAACCTAAACGAAAAAAAACATCAACACTCACCATTATCAACACCTGATCATGGTACAGTCCCCAGCAATCGGCGTATACGCTGACTGTTACCTCCACCATTCCGCACGGCGCAAGCGCATTTTCTGAAGCTTTACACTCGATGATGACTCCTGGTGTTCTGACGTCATCAGCCCATTTATCTAGAAAAAAACATGCTTGAACTTGCCTTTTTGCTATCCGTATAACTATATGAACTAAATACTGTCTGTAGTTTACGCGAGTAGTACAAATTTCAATAAAACACTTTAACGGTTGAAAACGCGATATATCTCAGTTAAACTTGTTCGAAAATGATTTCTAACTACGGCCCGACGTTTCGGATGCTTTGCAGCAGCCGTGGTCACGGGGAGACTAAAGATGGAGGATCATCATCAAATTTTACTTCAACGTCAGAACGTTAAAGTAAAAATTGCTACGCTAGCGCCATCTCTTCCGTCGAAGTTGGTATTTGGCGAGACTGGCCGGGTCTTTGCAGAATTCTTCGCTTTTGTCGTTCCAATAAACAACGTATCGACAAAAGAGAAGTCACCGTGAGTCGATATATATATATATTGCGCGAGAGATGCATGTATCGATAGGTTGAAAAATTCGGCGACTCGTTAGAGCACGGAACGCTGTAATTGCCGGTTCCCGTCCTGCCCGTGTCGTAATTTTTTATCGTAATAAACGAGCTTGTTGGTCTAGCAATATAAGTATGCCTATTAGTAAACGGTATTGGTAATATAGATGTCCGCGACACTATATTTCTATCTTTTAAGATTAAATTGCAAGAACGGAGGGACCCGAACGACGGTCACAATTGATGCGGACGCGAGCGATATCGTATGTAAGAGCTTAAATTTATGAAGACGATTTTAAACTACTACTAAACCAATAGTTTCTGAGATTTAAACAAACAAATGGCGCTTTTGAACAAACAAAACATTTATAGTAATATTACAAGCTTTATAATATTACAATAAATATTTTAGTACCGAAGCTTTCGATCTCAAATAACAATAAAAGAAATAAAACAGCTCGTATCGACAAAAAAAGCTTTGCGACTCTTCGTTAATGCTTAGAGGCTTAGCCGTTGAATTAAGTTAACAAAACGAATATCTCGACGCGTTTCAAAAAATGTATTAAAACACGTAAGAGGGTCACACTAAAGGGTCTTAAATTGTGGCCACGAAAAATGAGGCAAAATATTAAAAATGATTAAAAATCTATAATTTATATATTTCAAGACTTTACTATTTTCCCATGCTGGTTATATATATATGGTATAGACTTAAATTAAATGTGCTCGTTGGTCTTATGGTGACAATGTAAGGCTAATAAGAGTCGCGTATTATTGTATTCTGAAACATTAGATATCGTCTGGAAATCTGGGCGGTAGGAATAACGAAAATTCCGTCCGTCCATTTCGAACTACCGTCCACAGATGATGAATATCTCGAAGGTTAGTGGATTTCCGAATATCCAAAGCCAAGTCTATATTTTATATGACTGGGATATTTCATCATAAATACTGTCTATAGTTTACGCGAGTAATACACATTTAAATAAAACACTTTAACGGTTTAAAACGCGATATATTAGTTAAACTTATTTGAAAATGATTTTTAACTTCGGCCCGACGTTTCGGATGCTTTCGGACGGGGAGACACGGCTGCTGTTACAGTGTTTAACCGTTAAAGTGGTTTATTTAAATATTTCATCTTATATGATGTGAACCGCATGCTTGTTTGGTTAGAGCAACGGCACGGAACGCTGTGGATATCGGTTCTTTTTCTATCTAAAATGTATATGTGCAATAACATGTGAATAATATTAAAGTTCAAACGTTAGAATTGTTTTTGAAACTATTTTAAAAAGCCAAACTACCAGCTTGTTTGTGTGTGAATTCCCGTTTCCCCTTCGTGGGGCATGGGACGACGACATTTCTGTGTCTGTTTCACTGGTCCGTTCTTTAACAAGTAGTTGATCAGACCCGCTTGCCCTGCCTGACTGAAACGATTTTTTATTTCCCTGGGATTCGAACCCAGGACCTCTCGCGCTTAACGCAATGCTGGGCAATATGGGCGTTTCACCATTTGGCTATAGTGGCGGTCATCCAGCTTGTTTAGTGGCTTCGAATAAATCAGGGATCTTCAAGTGAAAAGCGATTTGGGACGAATCGACAATACGCCATCCGTCGCGACTCTCAATGAGTTCCATGAAAGCTTTATTTTGTTTGCTTTGTGTTTTGCATCGTCTAGATAGGTCATACCCCCATCGGAGAGTTCTCAAACTTATTATTAAACTAATTTGTATACATGACTTTTCAATAATGCAAAATTATCTTTTTTATTTCTTATTTCTACATGCAAAGGTTGCCTGGAAGAAATCGCCATAGGCAATAAGGCCGCCATTGCACAAACATGTTTTATTTTGTATATGTAATTCTATGTATCCATGTTCTTATGTTATGTATGTATATGTATATGTATGTTTGTGTAATAAAGAGTTTATTATTATTATTATTATTTTTATGTATATATATTACAATCTCCCTTTGGCAAGGGGTTGAAAACAACTATAATGCGGACATCAGCCAAGCGTTATAGTTGTGGTCGAATCCGTATTTAAAAATTTCCTAACTATTCTGCATGTATTTAAGATGAAGCTGCTTTCTGAAGTGTGACATAAGTGAGGGGGTGAATATTATTATTTTTATTACTAATGTTGCTTAGGTAACTGTCGAATATCCAAAGCTATAATAGGTCGACAACGCAACTCTTGTGCAGATGTTTAATAGTTGTGGTATTTTGTCTCTCATCTAGTGAACCTTATGTTATGTCTGTCCTTGTCTATCATAAAAAAACTGTGTAATACAAAATATATTTCCTCAAACATGTATGCAAATTTGAGCATTATTTTGACCTCCGCTTTTTTGCTGCAAAACATCCAAAACGTCGGGCCGTAGTTAAAAATCATTTTCAAATAAGTTTAACTAATATATAGCGTTTTAAACCGTTAAAGTGTTTTTAAATTTAAATATCATTCTTGCATACGTCGCGACGAGGCGATCGCTGCGTCACAGATGAATAATTTTCGCCGTTTTTTTCCACATTGTTTCAGTTTTTTTTTGCTCCTATTGGCAACCTAATGTTTTATAGCCTAAAGCATTCTTCTATTCCAAAAAAAAAATCGAATCAGGGTTTTTACGATTAGCGTTTTCAAACATTCAAACTCTTTTATAATATTAGTATAGATTCTGCGAGTGTTTGAGAAGCGCTGATTTAGCAAAATATCTCTATGAAAGGGAATCAAGTATGTATTGAAGTTACGGAATGTTAACAAGACGGTTCTGGGAATTTACGAGAGCGATTTAAAAGATGGATTCGTTGTACGAAGAATCGATGGGAGCGGATGGAGGTCGTAAGTGACATATTGCTTAGACTTTAAGGTCTACTTTTAAATTATATATTTTTATTAACTTTCAACAGTTACGTCCGTACTGCATTACGTCCAAACTATACCAATAAAGCTGAAGAGTTTGTTTGTTTGCGCTAATCTCAGGAGCTACTGCTTCGAGTTTAAGAATGATTTTTGTGTTGGTTAGATCATCTATATATTATATATTATTAATCTGTAAGGCACTGGTTGCGTGCGCTGAGAAAACGATTCAAGGAGACATAAAAAATGCCTCTTTAAATGATATAAAAGAAAGCCGCGACACTATCTTTTAAAATTAACTTGCAAGGACAGCGAGACGCAGACAACGCCGTGGGTATTTACAAAGATCAGAAGTTTGCAAAAACAAATTTTGACGCCCAAAATTTGTTCTTGCAAACTATTCTACGCGGACAAAGTCGCCGGCATAGCTAGTCTTCAGCCAATGCTATATTCAATAAGACTTTACGAAAGATCAAATCAATTCCGACCGCGAAAGGTCAGAAAGTCATCAAAGATTTTCACGCGCCGACAATCTCGAAACAAGAAAGTGTAGGAAATGAGCTAAGTTCAAACGCTCGAGATTAGGAGAAAAGGATGTAGGGACGATAATTGCGACTTTTAACTTGGGACAAGGGAGTGAAAAGATGTCCTTTGGTACCATTTTATGATAGAGAAGGTCAAGCTGTAGCTATTTAAATAAAACACTTTAACGGTTTAAAACGCGATATGTCAGTTAAACTTATTTGAAAATGGATATAATACATATAATTCGGATGCTTTGCAGCAGCCGTGGTCACGGGGAGACATAAACATCATTAATTAAAAATCATTTTCAAATAAGTTTAACTAATATATCGCGTTTTAAACCGTTAAACTGTTTTATCATTTATAACTATAGACAGTATTTAGTGGTTGGAATTGAAAAATTCCTTTGTGACGGTTAGAGCATTTATCGAGGAAGGTTATAGGCTATAAAACATTGCTGTGACTAATAAAAGACAAAAATACAGCGGGAAATGTGAACAAAACGGTAGAAATTTTTCATCTCGCATCTTTCAGATGCGTACGCTGTGAAAACCATTCAAGACACCTAAAAAATATGTATGAAAGAATGATTCCTCTTTAAATGACCAAAAAAAAAGTCCACGACGCTATATGTCTATCTTTTAAGATTAACTTGCAAGAACGACGGGAAGTGACGCGACCGACGTCGTCGGTAACAGCTTGAGTTTATAAACATGGCGGGTTTTGCAAAAACTAATTTGGATGCCCGAAAACACGATTCTCGCGGACGAAGTCGCTGGCACGGCTAGTATAAAATAAAAGCCCCATCGACTGTCCTTCGTTTGTTTTTCATTGCCTTTATGTAGATAAAAGGTAAATTTAATTAAGGCACAATAGGAAAACCTCTTTCAATTATTGGTAAGACTTGTCTAGACAAAGCGATATTTACTATTAACCGATACATCTGAGATCTGAGAGCACTTGAAATTGTATAGAATTAGTTAGACTTAATTCAATTGTACCAGACTATTGTCTGTATTTGGAGTCTTACAAACGTGTTCCCAGGGCTCTGTAAAAATGTAATTTACATAAATCTATATCTATACTAATACTACAAAGAGGGAGACATTTAAATAAAACACTTCAACGGTTTAAAACGCGATATACATAGGTTAAACTTATCGAAAATTATTATTACTACGGTCCGGCGTTTCGGATGCTTTGTAGCAGCCGCCACGGACTAGGAAATTTTCAAATAAGTTTTAATAATATATATCGCGTTTTAAACCGTTAAAGTGTTTTCTTTGAATGTGTACTACTAGCGTAAACTACAGACAGGTTTGTTTTTGTACTAGCTTACCAGGCAAATGTTACCATATTACTATCCCGGTCATATTTTTATTATTTAAAGGAAAATAATTATTTTATATATATTTTTTGGGTATCTTGAACCGTTTACGAAGCGCACGCAGCGGGAACCCTCAAAGACGAATATTTTTCGCCAGAGTTTTTTCCACATTTCCCCATGTTTCCTGATGTTTTATAGCCTAAAGTCTTTCTCAATGAATTGTTAACTTACACAGAAATAATTATTCATTCCGTATCAGTAGTTCCCGAGATTAGCGCGTTCAAACATACAAATGCTTCAGCTTTATAATATTAGTATAGATTTTGTTTTGAATAAACTCAGATAATACAAAGACGATTACAAAAAAATATTTCACTATTAAGAATTTATAACTACCCTGTGACAGCCTATGTCTACTACTGTCTAATACTAACTGTGCCCGCGACTTCGTCCGCGTGGATTTTGCAGCATTATTGAACAGAGAGAGATCTCATTACCGGTCTAATATAAGTAGCTTATCTCATATTAATGCAAGCTTACACGTTGTGTTAACTAAGTTAACTAATATTTATATTTTGTTAATCTAAAATCGATTTTAAATTTATATAACGCGATCATGCGCTATAACATGTGAAAAGTATTAAAGTTTTCAAACTTTTAACTCTGTATTTCCATTTTCTTAAGCTGCAAAACATAAGACATTGGGCCTTATATCTGAGGTGTTAATGTTGAAATTACATGGTGCATGTATCAATCGGTTGAAAAAATTCGAAGATTACGACGTGTAGGAGTCGGTATGTTATTGGTTGGAGCAATAGAACGAGACGCCGTGGATGTCAGCTCAATCTAAACTCGATTTTTATTTTAACCAACTTGTTCAAGAATTTTAGATGATTTTATAATTACGCGATGTATAGTTAACTAATTTCATCGTTTTGGATGCTTTTAGCATGAAATTGTGGTTTTTACTACGTGAAATTGCGGTAAATCATTAGTTAATTATACAATCCAGTGGTCCAAAGTATTTTCAGTGTAAATCAATGTAAACTTTGTGAGGAAATCACTATTTCGCGTAAATCGATTTACGCCTGTTTACCAAAAACGCCAAGTAAGAAAAAATAAACTATACATATTATGTTTTGAAACACGCGCATTGAAAGTTCGAAATTCAAAATAAATATTTTCATTCCTAGCGCGAATAATGCATTCCTTCCACACAATAGTGTGAAAAGGCCTCAGGTGAGGAATGGAAATAGAAAAAAGAATTTGACCCGGATCCGTGTCAGCAATGGCCCGACAAACGGCGGCATGCATAAAAGTGAATATTTATACGTATTTTAGTGCTGTGCCAGCGCTGACAAAGAGTGCACTAGAAGGAAATGAGAGTTTGTGTTGCAGGTAAATCGAGGAAGTTGGCAATATAAACATTTAGGAAAATACTAGCTGTGTCAGCGACTGTGTCTGCGTAGTAGTTGTGTTAGGAATCGTAATTTGTTTTTACAAACCTTCTTATCTTTATAAATTATAGCTTGCGGGATAATCTTGCGGGATAATCTTAAAAGATAGACATTTTTTTAGATCATTTAAAGGCGAATCTTTCTTACATACAAGTTTTTTGGGTTTCCTGAACCGTTTTCGCAGCGTACGCAACTGAAACCCACACAGATAAAAATTTCCCTTTTTGTTCACTTTTTACACTGTATCTTCGCTTGTATTAGTAACAGGGTCATGATTTATAGCCGTAATGTTCTAACAAACACAAAAATATTTTTTCCCTTCAAATCTGTAGTTCCTGAGATTAGCGCGTTCAAATACACAAATAAACCCTTCAGCTTTATATATTACGATAAATACACGTACAATAAATTCTGTTATTTAAAAATGTAAAATCTTGACGTAAATACTGTCGATAGTTTACGCGAGTAGTACACATTTTAATGAAACACTAACATCTCCCCGTGACCACGGCTGCTGCAAAGCTTCCGAAACGTCGGGCCGAAGTTAAAAATCATTTCAAATAAGTTTAACTAATATATCGCGTTTTAAACCGTTAAAGTGTTTTATTTAAATTTTGACATAAGTTACAGAAGTCGTGGGTATTAACGAAACGTCGCGACTTTTCACAACATTTAACTGTTTTCTCTTTTTTCGAAATGTCAAATTCTCTTGTTAATCTGTAACAGCTTCATTATTTGCAAGGGTACACCGTTGTGTAAACAAGCATGGCCCTGAAATAGCGATGAACAAAGTAATGTTCAAAAAGTTTACGATTTCATATGAAGCGACCAGGAAGTTATAAGTAGATTATTTAAAGTAATTTAAAAATCGAAAATAAGTTTAAAAAAAATCTTTTTAATTGGTAGAGCAACAGCACGGAACGCTGACGATGCCGGTTCAAGTCCTGCCCGAGTCGAAATTTTTTTTATTTTATTTTCGATTTTTAAATTATATAGTGCCTTCGTGTGCAATAAACATGTAAAAAACAACAAAGTTTTAATTTAAAGTAATTTCTTCTACATGAGGGTTGGGGCGGACATATTTATACGTCTGTTTCACTTGTGTGAAATCCCGTTTCCCCCTCGTGGGGCATGGGGCGAACACATATCTTTGTCCGTTTCACTGATCCGTTCTTTAACAGGCAAGTCGATCAGACTTCTGTGCCCTGCCCACCGAAACATTTTTTGTTTCACTGAGATTCAAACCCAAGACCTCTCGCGCTTAACACAATGCTGGACAATACGTTTAACCATTTGGCTACAGAGGCGGGCGATGTCTGTTTCACTGAACCATTCTATTTATAGTCAAGTACATAGTTTAAATAAAACACTTCAACGGTTGAAAACGCGATACATTAGTTAAACTTATTTGTAAAGGATTTTTAACATCGGCCCGACGTTTCGGATGCTTTGCAGCAGCCGTGGTCACGGGGAGGCTGGAGAAACGTCGGGCCGATGTTAAAAATCATTTTCAAATAAGTTTAACTAATATATCGCGTTTTAAACTGTTAAAGTGTTTTATTTAAATGTGTAATACTCGCGTAAACTATAAACAGTGTTTAATTAACCAAGTACATAGTTAGTTAGACTTCTGTTGGGTAATAGACGACATTAGGTATTATGTTTTGCACTGATGTGAACCCACGACCTTTCCCCTTCACGCCATGATTAACCAGCTACAAAAGTTGTATTATGCATTAAGATTAAATATCATTGTGTTATCTGTAGTTACGGTATTTAAAGAATTCATGTGAATCGGTTCTCAGTTTCCCAAAATATTATTTAAAAAATGCACGTTTTAAACCGTTGAAAGTGTTGTATTTAAATGTGTACTACTCGCGTAACTTACAGACAGTGCTACAAAATTTTGCAAAAGCAAAACATGTGGTCGACTAAATTTTCTAATATACTTCGCGTTTTGAACCGTTGAAGATCTTTTTTTTAAATGTGTACAAATCGTGTAAACTACAGACAATAATCTGTTTTGTGAAGACTTCAAAACATTGAATCCCAGCTACAAACAAATTTCTAATATATGTCGCGTTTGAAACCGTTAAAAATGTTTTATTCAAACGTGTACAAATCGCCTAATCTACAGACAATAAATACTCTACGATTTTGTGAAGACTAAAACATTGAATCTCAGCTACAAACAAATTCTAATATATGTCGCGTTTGAAACCGTTGAAAATGTTTTATTCCAACTTGTACAAATCGCGTAAACCACAGACAATAAATACTTTACAATTTTGTGAAGACTTCAAAACATTGAATCTCGGCTACAAACAAATTTCTAATATATGTCGCGTTTGAAACCGTTGAAAATGTTTTATTCAAACATGTACAAATCGCGTAAACTACAGATTACTGATTTTATGAAGAATGCAAAACGTCGGATTCCAGTTACGAAAAAATGTTTGAATATATTTCGCGTTTCGAACCGCTGAAAATGTTTTATTGAAATGTGTACCAATCGCATAAACTAGAGATAATAGTACATATTTTTGCAAACAATACAAAGCATTGTATAACAGTAACGATTACTTTATGTATATATTGCATTTTAAACCGTTGAAAATGTTTTATTCAAACGTTTCGAATCGTGTGAACTTACTACATACTACACAATTTTGCGAAGAACACAAATCATTGGATTTTTGTTACCAGTATATTTTCTAATACATTTCGCGTTTTAAACCGTTAAAAGTTTTATATTTAAATGTCTACATACCGCGTAAACTGCAGACAATACCATTTTGCGAAAACTTCAAACCATCGGATCTCAGCTACAAAGTAATTTCCGATAAAAATTATAAAACATTTACCTGATCTCAACGTCCGCTTGTGTACTCGTGGCCAGTTGCGAACAGCGGTGGCTATCCGCGTAAACAGCGAAGACAGGTTCCGTAATTTCATCGTCCGTGTTTGCACTGAACAGAAAAAAATATATATGATAGAGCAGGACAGAGAAACATGAGATTCGCTTGATGGCAAGTTAAATACCCTAGCGATTTAGCATCTAACCAAGATGCGCTGTCGGCCTATTTTGGTTTTACATATTCGGAAACCCACAGACTGAGAGCGAAACGCGATTACTTGACAGCTTTTTTTATCTGTGGACGGTGTTTCAAACCCAAATTCGAATTTCAAATTTCGATATTGTTACAAGAAATGTAATATCCATATTACCGTCTTATCTATACTAATATATAAAGCTGAAGAGTTTGTTTGTTTGAACGCGCTAACCTCAGGAACTACTGGTTCGAATGGAAAAATCCTTTTTGTATTGGTTAGAGCATTAGAGCCTATAAAACATCGCCCTGTGACTAATACAGGCGAAGATACAGCGAGAAATGTGAAAAAAATTACGAAAATTATTCATTACTATGGGTTTCCGATAGATAACTAAAAAATATGTACAAAAAATGATTCGCCTTTAAATGATCGAAAAAATGTCCGCGACAATATGTCTATCTTTTAAATAAAACACTTTAACTGTTTAAAAAGCGATATATTAGTTAAACTTATTTGAAAATGATTTTTAACCTCGGCCCGACGTTTCGGATGCTTTGCAGCAGCCGTGGTCACGGGGGTCTCCCCGTAATTAAGAAACTAATAATATATAAAACAAATCCTTACTATAAATGCGAAAGTAACTGTGTCTGTATGTCTGTTAGTCTTTCACGCAAAAACTACTGAACGGATTTGAATGAAATTTGGTACACATATGGTCTAGACTCTGAGAAAGAACATAGGTTATAGGGGTTGAAAGGGGTTTAAAGGGGGGGGTGAAAGTTTGTATGGAAATTCGTGGATTTTGAAGAAAGTCCAATCCCACTCCCACTCCCAAGTGGGAGTGGGATTGGGAGTGGGAGTGAGAGTCGGAGTTAGAGTAGGAGTGATGTGAGGTGAGAGTGTTGCGGCAAAGTAGCACTTACAACATAGATAGGCTGCGATAAATGCGCAATTGCATAAATTAATAAACAGCCTAAATAATTGAAAATATTACCCCAAGTCACTATTCCACGCGAACGAAGTCGCGGGCACAGCTAGCTATCTATATATGTACACTAATAGATATGTTTCAATGTTTGTTTTTTAAGTTGCAATACTAATGCGCTGTCGGCCTATTTCGGCATAAGACACTCGGATATACAGACAGGAACCGAAAAACTATTAAACTTCAAGACTTTTCCATCTGTGGACAGTAATATCCAGAGTTTCAGATGCAGTCCGTCATGCTTTAGAAAAATTATAAATAGATAAATGTTGGACTCGGTTTGAATCAAACCCGCGACCCGTTGATTATTAGCCATACATTGCTACCATTACAGGAACGAGTTAAACCGTTAAAAGTGTCACATTTTAAATAACTTACCAGTTCTGACAGGTAAATTCCTGAACTGCAAGCAAGAAGGTTCTTCTGACTCAGGAAGAACAGGCTTCGTCTTCCCGCCACATGGGCAGACTCGAGTAAGTGGCGGCGGTTCGGTTACTGCACATTTAATTATCAAATTCGTACAATAAGCTCTTAAAGCATTATCTGCCGTTTACGCAAGTGTACACATCAATAAAAACACTTATAACGGTTTAAAACGTTTATATATTACTGTCTGTAGTATTTACGAGTAGTTGGAAGTTATTCTAACCGCGGTCGCTGTTGCTGCAAAGTCTACCTAATATATTATATATATACATATATATATCGCGTTTTAAACCGTTAAAGTGTTTTATTTAAACGTATGTACATATTAGTAAGCTTAAACGCCGGGCTGTAGTTAAAATAATTTTGCAAATAAGCTTAACTAATACATATCGAGTTTAAAACCGTTAAATTGTTTTATTTAAATTTCTCGTGTACACAAGAAGATAAAAGTAGAAGGTTTTTTCACATAAACCTTCTACTTTTATCATACAAGGTTATTTTATAAGTATTGATTTTTTTAAAATGTCCACCAAAAATTTTTACTTACTGACATCAACACAACGATACTCCTCATCCAGGGGGGAAGATGGCTCTGTAGCTGGTGGTATGTACACCATTTTATAGGGACAATGGCAAATGTTCTCTGGAAGAAGATACAATTACTGTACAGACAATTGACATCTATACTAATATATAAAGCTGAAGAGTTTGTTTCTTTGTTTGAACGCGCTAATCTCTGGAACTACGGGTTCAAAAGGCTATGAAACATCCTGAGCGAAGATACAGCGAGTAATGTGAAAAATTCGGGAAAATGATTTTTTCTTTGAATGATCTAAAAAATAGTCCGCGACGCTATATATCTATCTTTTAAAATTTACTTGCAAGAACGACAGGTGAGCGATGACGTAGGTGGCAGCTTGCGAAAACGATTTTGGATGCCCAAAATAATCGTAATTCGATCGGACGACGTCGCTGACTCAGCTAGTTCTAATATCGACGACAGAGAAGCACTTCACATGATGGTAGGTGAGCCCCAGACATACAACGTCTAAACAAGATCTGCTGAATAGCTATTGGCTTTGGAAATCCAAAGATTGAAACCGAAGTGTGATTAAACTTCACAGCTTTACCATCTGTAGACAGTGCGTGGCGGACGGAATTCCTTTATAACTACTAATCTCTTAAATACTGTCTATAGTTTACACGAGTAGTACACATTTAAATAAAACACTTTAACGGTTTAAAACGCGATATATTAGTTAAACTTATTTGAAGTAAAAACGCTGTCAATAAATAAGTTTAAGTCGTATGTTAAACAAAAACTGCTTGGAAAGGGTTATTATAACGTAAATGAATATATAAATGATAAAAATGCTTGGGCTATGGAGGAACCCGCTCTATCAAGGAAGAAATGTACACAATGAGTGCGTAAGGAATATAAGGAAATGTAATAAAAACTTGGCAATTAAAAGGAGTGGCGGCGAGTTTCTTGCCAGTTCTTCTCGTTCGCTCTACGCCCTAACTTGGGATGTGGAAGTAACTGTAAAATTAGAGTTTTAAATTTTTACCTGTTTTGACGTTCATAAGTGTACTAAGCTACCTACATGAATAAATGATTTTTGATTTGATTTGAAAATTACGGCCGTGGTCACGGGAAGACACCCCCGTGACCACGGCTGCTTCAAAGCATCCGAAACGTCGGGCTGAAGTTAAAAATCATTTTCAAAAATTTTAACTAATATATCGCGTTTTAAACCGTTAAAGTGTTCTATTCTAATCTCTTACTACATGTACTTATATCAAATAATCAACGGAGTAGGGTTCGATTCTCACCGGGTCCGACAGGTGTTTCAATTATTTACTTCTGAAATATGTTGGACTTCGTCTCGAAATTTGAATAGTAAATGGATGACCGTCCCCGGATTAATATTCCGTGAACGTTATTCGCGTTTCGGTCTAAAGATGGCCGAACAAGCAAAGAGCCAAGGTCGATAGCGCATTTTTTTTTATATGGCTGGGGTACTGAATCGTATAAAAGTTAGAACTTCAAGAATCCATCTAGATCTGTCTAGAATACGGAACTTACGAAGCAGTGAGGGTAGTGAATTTTCTTTTCTACCCGAAAAAAAGTATGGACCACTAACAATTAGAATATATTTAACTACGTAAATGTTCTCTTCAGTGTCTGTAGTGTACGAGTAGATATTACACGTTTAAAAAGCGAAATATATAAGTTAAACTTATATAGAAATTATTTTAACTGTATTCGTTTTGCTGCCGTGGTCATAAGGGGACTAAAGATGGAGGGTGTCCCTAATGTCAAAATAAAAAACTGCTACGCGCTAGCGCCATCTGTTTTGTCGTAAATACCACCTCCAACGGAAATATAGCTGCAAAGCATCCGAAACGTCGGGCCGTCGTTGAAATAATTTGTATATAAGTTTGATTAATATGTTTCGCGTTTTAAACCGTTGAAGTGTTTTATTTAAATGGAATTGTATAAATTTATCTGGGTTCGGTTTGGGGAAAATGTACTTAAAACGCTACCTTTTTGTACTGCGCGCTTCCGGTCTTCCTCTTCAAATAATTCAGTTGGGGACACCATTTTCTCTCTTCGTGCAGACTCTTTCTGAGAAAAGAAGTCAAATTGGATATCTGTTATTATTCTCATGACATCTATAGTAATATATAAAGCTGAAGACTATCTTTGTATGTTTCGCAGGGTAACCGCAAAGACGAATCATTTTCCCCTTTTTTCACATTTCAGCTGGGTATCCCATTTCTTCGCTCCTTAAATTCACATCGCATTGTTTTATAGCCTAAAGCCTCGATAAATGTTCTAACCAATACAAAAATATTTTTTTAATTCGAACTAGTAGTTCCTGATATAAGCGCCTACGAACAAACAAACAAACGCTTTATATATTAGTATAGATTTTTAATTAATCACCAACGAGCTCGTCAAATCACAATTTGTGTGTTGTGTAATAAAGTCACCAATAGTAATTAATTCTAAGTAAAGTAATAATTGATATTAAGTTATTCACGCAAAATTACTAAGTCACGTTAGCGACAACACCAATCTCAAAACGTGTTAAGGCTGCGGTGTTTTATAAAAGCTATACATCGCGTTTTGCGTTACTATGCTATATGCCCTACCAAGAAAAAAATGACTTAAATACTCTCTGTAGTTTACGCGAGTTGTACACATATAAATAAAACACTTCAAAACGATTTAAAACGCGATATATATTAGTTAAACTTGTTGTCTCCCCGTGACCACGGCTGCTGCAAAGCATCCGAAATGTCGGGCCGAAGTTAAAATAATTTTAAAACAAGTTTAACTAATATATCGCGTTTTAAACCGTTAAAGTGTTTTATTTAAAAGTTTAACTATGTAGCGTTTTAAGCCGTCAATTTTTTTATTTAACGTTGTACACTTGAAGTACGTAGAGAGTGTAAAATTACACTTGGCGATAAAAGGAGTGGCGGCGAGTTTCTTGCCAGTTCTTCTCGTTTGTTCTATGCCCTAGATTTGAGAACTGGTAGTGAGTGTAAATTTGGAGTCTTTAGTTTTTAACTGGTGTCACGGTCAGTACCTAGTTCCTTTAGTTCGTAGACGTTTTTAGTTCGGTACCTAGTTGCCTGCGTAAATAAATGATTTTTGACTTTGATTAGAATATCATGACCGTGATCACGGGGAGACGGCTGCTGCAGAGTATCCGAAACGTCGGGTCGAAGTTAAAAATCATTTACGAATAAGTTTAACCAACATATCTCGTTTTAAACCGTTTAAAGTGTTTTATTTAAACCTCTACCCGTTGATTTTTTGGACATTAGACATTGCTATGATTACGCCAACAAGCATGTTATAACACATTCGTGTAGTAAATGGTGTAACGCGTTGCGATGTAAACTATAGCGTCGATAGGAGACTTAAACCTTAAAGAGAAATTAATTACAGCTTGACAAGGAGTTATTGAAATGTTTGAACTTTGATTATGGTATATATTAGGACTGTTTTAATACACTTCAAAAACATATTTGCTGCTCAATAACGAAAGAGATGATAATGTATATTTCGTGAGTCTGATTATCTAAGGGTTAAGTATTGGAAAGTTAAATATTTTTCACATGTTCTTGCACATGATGGCGCTATATAAGTTAAAAACTAGTGTCAACTTAAAAAAAAATTTTTAGAAAAGGCGGTTTTATTTGTTTGTGCACTGAAACAAAAAAAAAAATTTTTTTTGACAGAATCATCGTGTTTTATTAGTGTCGGCTCCCTTTCATTTGATACACATATTGAGGGGGTTAAGGAAAATATGTAATCCGCCATTTTTTGTCGGCGGCCATCTTGTACTTGCAATGTTTTTGGTTTTATTATATTGTATTGTCATCCAAATTAAATGTGTGCACCAAATTTGATTTCTAATTTTGACCCAAATAAATAAATTCCGTGCGGGTCGAGCTAAATAGAACCGTTAAAAAAAGGGGTTTTACTGTTAAAGTCAAAATTACATTGCGGGAGAGGTGGATGTAATGTCAATTGGTTAGAGCAACAGCACGGACCGCTGTGGGTGCCGGTTCAAGTCATGTCCGAGTCGTAATTTTTTTATTAATTGATCTTTTAATTCATACATTATTGTCTGTAGTTTATGCACTCATAATGGTCTAAAACGGCCGGACAAAACAGATGGCGCTAGCGTAGTAGTTTAGACTTTGAGAGGGATACCCAACTTCAAAATCCCGTGCCCACGTCTGCTGCAATGCATCCAAAACGTCGGGCCGTAGTTAATATAATTTGTAATTAAGTCAACTTATTTATTTCGCGTTTTAAACCGTTAAAAAAGGTTTTATTTTAGGATATTCTTTTGTATCCCCATAAAATATCTCCTTTTTTTCTTAAATGTAAACAGTAAGTACTGTGTGTAATTTACGCGAGTTACACGTATATATATAATAAAACACTTTTAACGGTTTAAAATGCGCAATACCTTAGTTAACGACCGTGTCATATTATTTTAGGGTACATTAAGTGTTTCATGCGAATTAAGTATTATATGTCTCTAATTACTTAATGTGAGTAGTACTACACAAATCAATTTTAACAGTTTAAAACGCGCTTATTTTATGCGCGTCGCGAATGACCCCGCGTGACCACGGCTGCTGCAAACCATCGGACACGTCGTAGTTTTACTTATACATTTCGCGTTTTAAACCGTTAAAGTTTTTTATTTCAATAGATAAGTAATTATATTGTAGTATCCTACTTTGAATCAAACTCGACCTTAGTTCACTGGCTAATACGATCTTTGACCACTTGAATTAGTGTCTGGTCTAGTCTACGTCTGGTCTAGTCCATGCAAATTTAATCCCTAGCCGCTTGAAAGTTCTCGACGCTCCACTCGACTGACCAATTATTCTGTTTTGGGTATTCTATGATATTCAGAGAATATTATGAAAGTAAAGTTTTTTTTACTAATTTCACTTGTAACTTTTGTACTTTGTGTAGATAAACGGATTTAAATAAAACAACGATTATATTTAAATAAAACACTTTAACGGCTTAAAACGCGATATATTAGTTAAACTTATTTAAGAATGATTTTTAACATCGGCCCGACGTTTCGGATGCTTTGCAGCTGCCGTGGTCACGGGGAGACCCCGTGATACGTCAAAGTGTTTCAATCGAATATAGCTTGAAAAAATTGCGCGACGCGGGCCAGACTTGAACCGACATCCATAGCGTTCCATGGTGCTCGGTAGCTCTAACCAATTGAGCTACCGAGTCCCAATAGGGCAACAACACGGAACACTGACGATGCGGTTCTTCGGAGTCTTTCGGTGTCGTCAATTTTTCAATTTAAAATACCAATTTAAGTTATAACTACCTGGCAAACTTTGTTTTGCCGTTTGAAGTGTTTCGACCGATGTCGATTACCATAGAAGCGGTTCTTGTAAGTTAATTTCAAAAGCTATATAAAGCTGAAGGGTTTGTTCGTTTGTGCCCATCCTATCAAGATCCCAGGAACTACGGGTTCAAACGGGGATGGAAAAAAAATTGTGTTGGTTAGAGCATTTATCGAGAAAGGCTATAAGGCAGTAAAACATCACAATGCGAGATACAGCGGGAAATGTGAAAAAAAAAATGGGAAAATTTGAATGATCTAAAAAAAGTCCGCGATGCTATATGTCTATCTTTTAAGATTAACTTGCAAGAACGACGGGAAGGGACGCGGTACTCACGGTAACTTCTCACCGTAACTTCCTCGACAAATGGTGTACCTATCAAAAAAAAATCAATTCCAACCAGTAGTTCTAGAGATATATATGAGTATAGATTGTATTTGGATACTGTCTATAGTTTACGAGAGTAGTACACATTCAAATAAAACACTTTAACGGTTTAAAACGCGATATATTAGATACTTAGCTAGCTAGCCGTGGTCACGGCTGCTGCAAAGCATCCGAAACGTCGGGCCGAAGTTAAAAATCATTTTCAAATAATTTTAACTAATATATCGCGTTTTAAACCGTTAAAGTGTTTTATTTAGATTATATTTGTTCAACAACTGTACAAGAACATTGTACAGACTGTAATAATATTGTCAATGGACCCTAATTGATTGTACAACCTCATTACCGCAGGCATTTGCTGTATTGTTACGAACCATTGTCTATACTGGAACGCTATTGATGTAGAGGGCATTGTTCATTGGATATAATTAGCTATGACAAACAAGTGAGCGAATCGGTATATGACCTATTTAACTTCACAGTCACTAGGATCTAAATTCGTGTGCTGCAAAGGTAATCTATACCAATTTTATAAAGCTGAAGAGTTTGAACGCGGTAATCTCTGGAACTGATTTTTTTTTATGTTGCAAAGACCCTTTACTAAAGAAGACTTTAGGATATAAAACATTAAGCTGCGGCTAATAGGGGCGAAAAAACAGGGAAATATGTAAAAAAGGGGATAATCATTAATCCTTGTGGGTTGCGAAAACGGTTCGAGATACCATACGATACAAAAAATTCGTATGAAAGAATTATTTCTCATTAAATGATCTAAAAACATGTCTGCGACAAAACGTGTAAACTAACAAAGTCGTAGTTACAGTTAGTAATTTATATGGTTTCATTGGTTGGCGGTAGTTGATAAAGTCAGACTACCCACAATAGAGTCATGAGCGCTGAAATCTTTGAGCGCCCCCAATAAAAAACAACTGAAGAGTTTGTTTGTTTGAACGCGCTAATCTCAGAAACTACGTTCGATTTGGAAAAAAAAATTGTGTTAGAGCATTTATCGAGGAAGGTTATAGCATAAAACATCGCTCTGTGAATAATACAAGCGAGGATACAGCAAGAAATGTGAAAATATTTTGGAAAATTATTCATCATTATGGGTTACCGATGCGGACGCTGCAAAAACGGTTCAAGATACCCAAAAAAATATGTAATAAAGAATGATTCCTCTTTATATGATCTAAAAAAAAGTCCGCGACACTATTTCTATAATTTAAGATTGACGTGTAAGAACGACGGAACAACGCGATCCACGTCGTCGGTGTTACCCACGCTCAAGTTTATAAAGATAAAGGGATTTGCAATTTGGATGTCCAAAAC